TCACAGTGGACACCTCCTGGAACTCCACAACTCAATGGGGTTTCAGAAAGGAGGAACATTGTTAGACATGGTTCGATCGATGATGAGTTCCACTGATTTACCTCTTTCATTCTGGGGTTATGCCTTAGAAATAGCAGCACATATTTTGAATAGAGTGCCAAGTAAAGTTGTACCCAGCACACCATATGAGATATGGTATGGCAAAACATCCTCGTACAAATATTTAAAAGTATGGGGTTGTACTGCTTATGTGAAGCAGTTAGTGGGAGGTAAGTTGGATATGAGATCCATCTTATGCAAATTTGTGGGGTATCCAAAAGAGTCTATTGGGTACTATTTCTATGATCCCTCTGAACAAAAGGTGTTTGTTTCGAGGAATGCTGTATTTTTAGAGAAAGAATGTCTCTCTAAGAATGGCAGAGTTGTAGAACTTAATGAAGAACCACAAGAAATTCCACTAAGTACCACAAATAACATACCAGTAGAGACTGGACCATCTGAAACACAACCTCTTCAGAGATCCGAAAGGATTTCTAGGGCGCCTGAAAGGTTATACCTATTGTCAAAAGACAATGAAGAGGGATTCTTTTTGGATAATGATCCAATAAGATATGATGAGGCAATGTCAGACATTGACTCAGATAAATGGCAAGAAGCTATGCAATCCAAAATAGATTCCATGTATTCAAACAAAGTATGGACTTTGGTTGAACCACCACAGGATATTGTACCCATAGGATGTAAATGGGTTTACAAGCGAAAACGTGGTGTATATGGAGAAGTAAATACTTTTAAAGCAAGACTGGTTGCTAAAGGTTATACTCAAAAACAAGGAGTTGATTATGAAGAAACTTTTTCACCAGTAGCAATGCTTAAGTCTATTCGGATATTGCTAGCCATAGCTGTGTATTATGACTACGAGATATGGCAAATGGATGTGAAAACTTCATTTCTTAATGGAAACATTAAGGAAGACATTTATATGAAACAACCGCAGGGTTTCATATCCAGTGGGAGCGAACAAATGGTTTGTAAGCTTCAAAGGTCCATTTATGGACTTAAACAAGCTTCGAGGAGTTGGAACATTCGGTTTGATAAAACGATCAAAACGTTTGACTTTCATCAGAATCCGGATGAACCATGTGTTTATAAGAAGGTTAATGGGAATGCAGTTGCTTTTGTTGTTTTCTATGTTGATGACATTCTACTCATTGGGAATGATGTAGGGATGTTACAGTCAACTAGGACATGGTTGTCTAAACAGTTTTCCATGAAAGACTTGGGAGAAGCATCTTTTATCCTAGGGATAAAAATCTATAGAGATAGATTTAAAAGGATGATCGGACTATCCCAGTCAACGTACATAAATAAGGTGCTAAAACGGTTTAGCATGGAAGAATCCAAACGTGGATATATTCCAATGAGTCATGGGGTTTTTCTTTTTAAGATGATGTCTC